ACTCATGTTGCGTTCTTCCATGAAAGCTCGCTTCATTTCCCTCGCTTACACAAACTTCTCTTTCCCGCTCCCTTTCGCCATCATTGACCCCGTCATCATCCACTTTTCCCAACTTCCCAACCAATCCATGACACTCACTCACTCTATCTCGTTAACCACCCATTGCCACTCCCATCATCGATCGTCATCACCATACTCACGGACTGCCATCCTTCTCACGATCTCATCTCATCATTACGCTTCTGATCTACACATCGCCAATTCTTTGTTCAGTGCCTTAGTCAAGGGGCGAGATGAATTAAAATAAGATAATAATAATAACAACACGAACAATATTCTTTGGGTTCAAAGACCCAAAGAATATGAATTCCTGCAGTCACGAAAGCATTTAGTCACCAATAACATTTTTTAAGAAAATCTCCCATAAAAAAAAAATCGCACGATGGGCGGGGGGGTAGAGTCTCCGTGGTTCGAAGTGGTGCGAAAAAAACCCCCAAGAAACAAGTATAACCCGTAAAAACAAAGTTTTTCACTATAAATCCTTTATATGCGTGGCGGCTAGAGTCCTCTCGTCCTCTGGCTTGAGATGGCTGCCACCTATGGGTCAGATGATTGCATGGCAGCATTAAGCAATTGGTAATTAAATCTAATATTTTTGTCCTAAAAAGTGTAAAATTTTGGAAAAAAAATTTCCACGAACATTAATTGCCACGCACAACGAGTCTGTGTGGAAAATGTCAGCTCGATTGGATCACGGGAAGTGGGTTAAAAAACGACCGAAAGATTTGCACGGTCCTAAGCAAGCAAGCGAACTTAATATTAAGGATTTAAAAAATACACAACGTCAAAGAGCAGCGTGGTGGCTGCGTGTGGCCGAAAATGAACAAAGCCAGAGCCGTCCGCTCTGCTCTGAGCAGTCGGCACCCTTGTGTTGACCGACGCTGTTGCCCATCCTCAGAGCAGCCCAGCGTAGCTGCGTCATGAGCACTTATGCGGGCATACGATCATTCACACAGCCTTCCCCACTCCTCTCTCTCTCTGCGCAGACCGTTTTTGCGTGTTCCCAGGGAAAAGGGGGAGCGGTGGTGTAGCGGTTAGCGCTGCGCTACGAACTCGGCGACCCCGAGTTTGATTCCCGTTCACGGCCAACACGAGTGACGATTATCTAAACCGGTCCTGGGCCTCCCCTAGGTCGACTCGGCTTCAAATGAGTACCCGGTGCGGTGCGTAATAAACATCGCCACTGGGGAGACAAAGGCGACTGGGCGTGGTGCTGGCCACCCTACCCCTTCGTGTGCTGTGCCGGTCTTCATAGGTGCTCGCTAACAGGGCTGGCCCCAACAGTCTATTGAGGCTGTACGGGGGGGGGTCTTTGTCCCAGGGAAAATGTAGACAATTTTTTTGCTTGGACCCTAAACAATAAAGATGTGTCCTTTCCCGAGTGTCTGTTTGGCCAATAAGGGGAATAATTGAGGGGCGTGCGTTTGGTGCTGACGCACGCGGCTGTGAGATCTGGCCTCGCATCGCAATGCACGTCGGAAGGAGTTGTTTGTGTTTTCGGAGGCTCCGGTTTCGAACCCGTGTTCAAACAAGTAAGCGCAAGCATGTGGTGGATTTAGACAAGTGTTTTAAGGGTTACCTGATGCTTTGTGACGTGGTGGTGGGGGGGTGAAAAAAAAAATCCCGTGGTTATTTATATATTTACATCAAATAAACAAACCCCTTTATCTCAGAGGCTGTTTATACAGCTCCATGCATTGGTCTCTGCTGCAAGAATTCATCAAGTTTAATAATTGTTGCTGCCATAGTAATTACGCATTTGCATTGATAATTAGTACATCAAAAATGTAATTACCTCAACACACAAAAAAAACACTTACCTTTGAAAATAGACGAAGCAATTACGAGTTCATGAACATAAAAGTCTGCAACTTTTTCTTTTTTGTGTCTCCTACTGCCACGTGTTGTGGTTGTGTTTCTGCCACTGGCCCCGAAGCATTGACTTGCAAATTACCAGCATCACATTTAAATTCCAGATTAGCGGAAATCGCCCGCGGGTTGAAACGCTGCGCTTTAACAACATTACTCCCATCACGGCATCTCACGGCCGTCTCAATTACTCTGGGACATTACTGACAACTGCAGAGAAATCGCTGCCTCCGTCGACAGGGTCATCATAAATGCTGAGCAAATTGATGTCTTAGAGGCGGCAAAAGTTAATCATTGCGCTCTTCTAGGTGGCTTTCAGCCCAACGCCAGGGTGAATTGCAGCCCCAAGGATAGCAGGAAAAAGCGCCTGTGAAGTTATTATGCACGGATATTGCGGGTGAAGGATTGCACTGAAGCTATATAAGTACACAGACCTCAGATTTGTGTTATGTATGCATATGCTGGATAAAGGATCGCGCTCTGGTGCTGTATAAGCACATATACTCGCGTGTGTGTTCTTTGTCAAGCATCCTCGGTTTCTTGCGGTCAAGAATTGCACATGGTTACGCAATATAAAGCAAATAACCCCGGTAAGGGAGCATTGTGAGTTTAAAGGGTTCCGTCGATTTTGTGTGTGAAACATCAAAACAGTGGGATGATACTTTGCTGGACCAGGTTTTTCCAGGACGCGGTGCCCATCCACATCAAAGGAATGCTTTATTTCGGGACGATTAGGAAGATGAATGATACAATGAAAATTATCTAGGCTGGGTGTTTTATTCAGCAGCACTCGGATTTCATTTAGGACTGCAGTTTAACCGGCTCTCCATTGAAGAGTAAAGCACAAGACCTTTTGATGTGGTTTTTTTCGGGGTATAAATTTGCAGCCCGAGGCTTATTGTTTCACGCGGACTACAACATTTCCCCGTGGCGCTTTAGCCCAGCTCTGCAGTGAGGCGACACCAAACCTCCCTCGTGTACTCGGCGCTGACTCAGTCTGCCTGACCCCCAACTCGTAGTGTCCAAGCACCGATCAGCATGGCGATGTTATGTAGCTTTGCGGGAAACGCGCTCCACGCGTTCATCTAGGTCCACAACGAACTATGGTCGAATTTCGATTTAAAGCTTTCGTGACTGCAGGGATTCATCTTCTTGGTTCTTTCGGTAAAGTCACGTAGAATGGAAATAATAAAATAAAATAATAAAAATTAAACATAATAATATAATTCTGTGAGGATAATAAAAATAAAACATAATAATATAATTTCGTGAGAATTATATTATTATGATTTATTTTTATTATTTTATTTTATTATTTCCATTCTACGTGACTTTACCTAAATAACCAAGAAGATGAACTATGATCGCTTGCATGCAGAATATGTGCCCCGCTCGGGAAGATTGTGTTCAGCGGAAACTAAGCACCTGGGGGAAATGTTTGTGTTTGACAGAGGCAAAGGGAGCGTGTTTATGTCGCCTGCTTTGCGTTTGACCCGTGTTTACACTCGCCCAGCGCCCTTTCATCTGGCAGCCAGGGTCTGATGAACGTTTTGCCCGTGTGACAAACTGCTTTGGCCACATGGTATAGGATGTGGAAACTCAGCAGGGCAAGCTCTCGGCAGGGTAGGGCCAGATTCCCCTACCCCCATTACCAATCCTGCGGCAATCCACCCCCCCCCCCCCCACATTTCCGTCAAGGCAAGCAGACCACCCCGGCAGATGCCTATAATCTCCACGAAGTCTGGCAGCAGGTCACACGCCACCAAAGTCCACACATCCTGAGATCAACCTGCTCGCGGCTAGGGTGAAAACATTTTTAACAGCGTAGCTTTGTCATTGATTGTGTTTGCTTGTTTTAAAAAAAAAATTCCTTTCCTCCCACCCTCCACCAAAAATGGGTTACAAGTCACTAGCCAGCCGAATCCACAGCGAATCACCTGGACGGAGTGGGGGGATTCAGAGTGGCTTGAGCTATGAGAAGCTTCCTGCAAGGCTACACTTTGTAAACAGTAAAAAAACCCCAACAACAAACACTTGCCAGGGTTTTACTTGGCTGCCACGGCAGCGCTACCGAGCCAAACGCACTCAGTGCTGTTTCCATGGCTATCTGGTTTCTTTTTTAAATCTAAAGCAAACTTATCCGGGGCGCTTGATAACGCTTGTTGCGCTTCGAGGTGGCAGATAATGATAACATAAACGTTTACAGATATATGTCCACTTGCAATAAAGGCTTCCGTTGTACGGGAGTTTAGCACAGGGAGAAAACTGTACAAGCAAACCATATAAACATTTAGCCTGGCATTAAAAATTCTATTGAAAATGAGTTTGCACAATTGCATCCGTTATGGTTCGCTTTTAATTTAACGGAAATATAACAGCGTGAAAGTCTCGTATCAATGAATGGCAGATTCCTGCCTACATCATGTCAAAAAATAAAATTTCTGCATTTCCGCTAAATCGGCATTGTGTACTTTCAGATGCGCTTCTGCGGCCGTCTGGAACGCTCTTCCGAATTTAGGAAACCACTGGAGCTATGCAATTTAAAATGGTCTAGATTGAAAACTCATTTCTTTACAACTGCTTTTTGTGTTAAGTTTGTTGTCCTTCCCCCATACTTCCGTTTAGCATGGTTGGCTATGTATGGCGCGGAATTAGTTTATACATACACACCCAGCATATTCATGAATGCCAGTGATATCCTCACAATGGAGCATTTCCTGCTCAGATATTTTCAGAACAATTATTTTTTAAAAACATATAAAAACAATCTCTGGTGCAAATATCTGGGCAGGAAACATACTGCAATCGGATGTCAATCCCACTGCTGCATCAAGGCCTCCCACATGCCACGCCAGGTGACGGGGACCGATTGACCATACTTCACCACCCTGGTCATTGCGGCTTGATGAAGCGAGAAATCCTGGGCTGGTTCATTTATCACCCATCTTTGATGTGAACCGCGGCTGGGAATGAAATGTAGATGGTGCACATATTGCGGTGCCCCCCACATTGCGCGTGTATCCCGGTGCCCCCTCCGTTTGACCTGTCCACGATGTCACTGTGACCGGCAGGGGCCCCCTACTACGACAACGTGCGTCCGCTCGCCTACCCGGACTCGGACGTCGTCCTCATCTGCTACGACGTGGCTCGGCCGGAGACGCTGGACAGCGTGCTCAAGAAGGTGAGGCCGCTCCTCTGCTAAAAACAAAGATCCCCTCCCCCTGCATATCCTTATTGGACTGTTGGGGAAAAGTGCTGTTAGCGAGCACCTAATGAAGGCCAGCGCGACACACACGGGGGTGGGTGGCAAGCACCACGCCCGGGCCGCCTTTGTATCCCCAGTGGCGATGTTTACGAGGCTGAGTCGACCTAGGAGAGGCCCGGGATCGGTTCAGATAATCGTCACCCGTGTCGGCTGCGAGCGGGAATCGAACCGCGACGCTACCGCTCCTCCGCACACACAAGACAAAAGACACGCTTTGTGCTCCTGCTGCCACTACAGACGTTGTTTTGCTTTGGGGAAATCCGGCAAATCCGACTGAATCTGGACCTGGAATCCATTTCACGATGCGCCTGCCGCTGCCAAGCCCCATGTTTGGCATTTGGGGGATATGCCGCAAAACACCTGTCAGTAAGCAATACGTCAGCTGCTGGATTTGTTCCGGTCGGTTATTTGGAGTATTTTGAAAGTTGCTACAGGCTACACAGGCCTGGCATTTACACCCTGCACAAGCACCATAAATTGCAGGCACTCGTGACCCTGTTTTTGAGCAAGCCCGAGTGTCCGATGAAGTGTTGAGCTGGCATTTTGAGAAATAATCTACACTGCTTATATTAAAGGTTGCGCAAAGACTTGTTTTTGTCAGGGGTGGGTTTTATGGTTTATTCCTATAAACTACTTTTGTTATTTATTTGATCAAGTAGAGCCCACTGAGCTATATTGCTATTTTGTATCCTGGCTGCAAATGATAGCTCAACAAAGTGGCTTATCGTGTGGACATTTGTAGCAGCCGAATGCTCTAAATACATGTTTCTAAATGTGGAGGGAAAAACTGGAAGACCGGGAGAAAAGTCCACGCGACCACGGGGAGAACATTCAAACTCCAAATTTACGGGCGTCCGGGTCGGGATCGAACCCATGACTGGTGCTTATAGTGCTGACCAAGACGTGCATAGTGCTGACTCAATAAATGGGGCGAGTGGAATAATCAGAAGCAGCTCCTTGCATTTTATAACACATTATGTACAATGCATACAAGAGGCAATTACAATCAGTGCATTTTCTACATGCAGTCTTTCGTAACCAATGTCATGATTCACAATTGATTTTTAGGTCGGATTACGTGGGTTAAATGTGTGTCGTACACCCCCCACCTATCAACGAAGCGGCATTACACGTGGGGGGCTAGCTATCCTGGACACCCGCGCGCCCAAGAAGTGGAAACACGTCCACGCCTGCTCACGTGGTAACTTCATTCATGGGCCGTGTCGGGTGGCGGAGGGTGTATGACACGCATTTTATTTCCACCGTCTGACCCAAAAATCGATGATGATGATGATGATGATGGCAAAAATGAACCATGCTCGATTAGATTACACCTGGACTGGATGACGCCGTCACGGCGCGTTGTCGCCCTGCGGTTTTCTTTATTTGTTGCGAATGCACGACGTGTCCGGTGCTCGTGTACAATGCTGAATGCGATGCAGGGGGGGGGGAGGCTGGCGGCGGTGGGGGAGCAGGAGTGGGTGGGGGAGTTGCTATCGCACTTATCGTGCTCACCCCCCACCTCCCCCCCCCCCCCACTTTGTTAACGAGAGCCAGAGAGCCGCGGGCTCTTCGATCGGGGCGCGTGCGGAGCATTGGCCGAGGTTTCCGCAAGCAAGGAGCTCGCTGCCGTCGTCAACGGGCGTGAGACCGCCGTCACGCGAACTCCGCTCGTCCCCGCGGTCGCGGCGGACTTTGGCTCGGTGGCCGTCAGACATTTAAAATGCTCTTTAAAATGAGTTTGCGCAATCACGTCCATGACGATTTGCTTTTAATCAACAGAAATACGACAGACTGAAGTTTTGTATCAATGAATTCCGCAAAATCAGCATCACGCCTTTTCAGATGTGCTTCAGTGGCCGTCTGGAACGCTTCCCCTCCGAACCTCTGATTAGCACGGTTGGCTACGTACAGCTCGAAAAAAGTTCAATGTACAAAGACAAAGATCCCCCGTATAGCCTTAACATACTGTTGGGGCAAGTGCTATAAGCGAGCAGCTATTAAGGCCGGCACGGCACTTGAGGGGGTGGGTTTCCAGCAACAGGCCCGAGCCGCCTTTATCTCCCCAGTGGCGATGTCTACCACACACCGCACCAAGTACTCATTTAAGGCCGTGTAGATCTAGGGGGGGAGGCCCAGGACCGGTTCAGACAATCGTCGCTGGGTCACCAGGTTCGTCGCGCAGCGTAGCGCTCACCGCTACACTACGGCTGCCCGTCGTGCTGGTGAGCACACTCGCGCTCGCTCGTGCCTCTCACTCAGACCAGAAGCCTCCCTCCCTCCATTCCTCCCTCCCTTCCTCCCTCCCTCCCTCCCGGCGCGACGCGACGGGGATCGATGCAGTAAAAGCAAAATTGCTCCGATACTGCGTTTACAAAAGAACGGGGGTGGTGGTGGAGGGGGTGGGAGACCCCATTGCATGGGGGTCCGTTTGAAGTCGAGACCCCCTTCCCCAGCCCCTGCTGCCACATCGCGGTTTCCATTAGCCCGCTGCCGTCTCTCGGCGCAGATGCGTGGTCCAAGCTCTCATATTGCCGAGTGCTCCTTTTATACCTCTGCGTTTAAAACGGAGGGATAGTGCTGCTCAGATCGGGCAGGGGAGGTTTTCAATGTTTGTGAAGAAAGGGAAATGCTCACTTGTGTCAATGTCGTTGTTGTTGTTGCTATTTACAAACAGTGGCGTTAGACGTTCTTTGGTTTGTGCAGGGATTCACATAAATGTATGTGTGCTAAAACTTATTTCGCACCGTACGTAGCCAACCGCGCTAATCGGAGGTGCGGGGGAAGGATTTAATTATATTTCAGTGCTCGCTTACCGTGGTTCCAGGTTAAATACTCCAGGGAGATAGGAGAGCAAACGTTTTACTGCATCATCATTTGCAACGTCAATCACTCGCGTACACATTATTTGTAATTGAGTTAACGCAGCTTAAATGTCCTGCTCTGTCTGAATTCACAACGGGCTCGTTGACGGCTGTCTGGTCACCGACACACACGCGCACACACGCCGCACCCCTTGTGCTTGGTACGTAATGCCGTAGTCCCGAGCAGTTCCGGAGCCAAAGCCCCGCAGGTCACGTGAGGTCAATCATAAATCCTTTACCTTCTGACCCCGACTTTGGGGCGGGCAGTAGCGGTGGGGCAGTGGGGGGGGGGGCCTGCAAATTGAGTCGTCGGCAGAGTGGGAACTCCTCCGTGGCAGTGGCGGATCATCCGAGTAGCAAAAGTAGCTTCAACATAGTAGTAGCTACTACAACATATGTAGTAGTAGCTACTACAACATATGTAGTAGTAGCTACTACATATGTAGTAGTAGCTACGGGCCCCACACTTTCAAGGGGGCCGCGCTAAATGCTTTCAAGCTATCAATTCGGGTTCAGTGATTCTGCACTTGCTCTATTACTATAGTACTATACTGCCTTCAACTTTTATGAACGACTAGGTGTTTAAGGTTAGAGATTTGTCGTATTACCTGTCTATGTAGCAAATGACGAAAATACAATGACTTTTTCTTCTTCTTGGTTCTTTCGGTAAAGTCACGTAGAAGGGAAGTAATAAAATAATAAAAATAAAATAATTCTCACGACGTTTCGGCCACAACGCAAGCAGCCGTCCTCAGGTGAAGAACATGTCTGTCGATAAGACAGAGTCTGAATGACATGACTTTACTATGCAAGTAAAAAAGTGTGTGTTTTTAATATCCATGCGTCTTTATTTATTTATTTATTACATATTCTACTACTCCGTGGCAGTCGTTCCCGAGACGTCCCCCCTCCCCCGTCCCTTCGCGGATTCTGCATTCCGTGTCTCGAGTCGCCGAGACAATCCGTCGTGGCGCGAGGACGACGGCTCACGTCGTTCCCAGAAGTCACTTTTGTTTACCACTCTACCTCCGTAGAAGCCCTTTTATTTTACACTTTTTGACAGATTGTTCACTTGTTCTGTAGACACGATCCCTTAACTCGAGCACGTGCGAATAATAATCATCATAAGTGTGCGCGCGGTACAAGAGGGAGGTATGCGTGTTGAACTTCTTTCGCACCGTGTGCTCATCGGAGAAGTCGCGCGTGCTGCTTCGCGCTCGTGGAGTGTTCACGTTTGTGCAATCATTTGGTTTTTTTTCGGCTCGAGGAGGATGCCCCAGGAGTAGATCGTTTCTCAGATTAGGGCCGTGAGCCCAAGGTGTGACTACGGGTTCGTACCCGTCCCGTCTGCTAACCGTGTACAGCAGCAATCAATCAGGATGAGATCTTAAGCCTCCACAATCTGTCGGAGTCTCATTTCCTCTCCTTGGGTGGCACTGTTATTCCTTGCGCCCGCAAAGCTTACAAACAGGTTCTAACGCGACACACATCTGTGCTAAAGATCCTCAGTAGTTTATTATTCCTTGGGTTGGCACTGTTATTCCTTGCGCCCGCAAAGCTTACAAACAGGTTCTAATGCGACACACATCTGCGCTAAAGATCCTCTCTAGTTTATTATTCAGCTGCCTTGGGCGGTGCTTAATCAAGAGCGAGTTGGCTTATTTTGCGTTGTGTGATGATCCACGTTTGGTTAAAAATTTCCTTTCCGAAGCCTTAATGAAAACGGATTATGATGAGATGCATGGCTACACTGATACAGACCCTGCAGAGCAGTTGCTTGAATAAAATTAAAGAGAAATAAAAATGCCAATGCCACATTCAGTTTAATCGACAAGTAACACGGCATGCTGGTCTGTGAGTGCCGGTGCATCCGTGTGTGTCGATGTGCATGGCCTCCATAGGTGCTCGCTAACAGCAGTCGCCACATCAGCCTATTGTGGCTATAGGGGAAGCTTTGTCTCTCAGCTGTGTGTGTGTTTGTATTGGGGGGTGGTGTTGTAGCAAACACCAGTGACGATTATCTGAACCGGCCATGGGCCTCCCCTAGATCGACTCGGCCGCAAATAAGTACCTGGTGTGGTGTGTAAACTTCGCCACTGGGGAGACAAAGGCGGTCGGGCGAGGTGCTGGCCACCCACACCCTCGTGTGCCGTGCCGGCCTTCATAGGTGCTCGCTAACAGCACTTGCCCCAACAGTCTGTTGAGGCTACACGGGGGATCTTTGCATTGATCTTTGTTGTAGTAATCCATGGAGTGCCCCCTACAGTCTCGGCAAACCTCGGTTAAATTCCTGGCCACGCATATCAGTGACATTTGCTATCTGAACCTGTTCTGGACCCTGTGGAATGTTGCTCCAGTCTAAGACGCGTAATGCAGGTGCCAGTGTGGTGTGTGACCAGTGTCAGCCCTGGGAAGACAAAGGCGTCTGGGAATGCAGTTTGGCCACGCCACTTCCTCTTGCGAACACGCCGGCGCTGAAAAGTGCCCGCTTAAACTTGCTCCGTCAAATCTATGGAGCTAATCGGAGGTGCTTTGTCTGTTCGTGCGTGTGTGCGTGCGTGCGTGCGTGGGATTGCTGGCATGTTGCGCTGGTGCAGTGGCGGGTGGAGAGCCACGAGTTTGGCGCAAGCACCAAAGTCCTGCTCATCGGCTGCAAGGCTGACCTTCGCGCGGACCTGCAGACCTTGCTGGAGCTGTCCAAGCAGCGGTGCATCCCTGTTACGCAGGAGCAGGTAACAGCAGCTCCATCGAACCACGCTCGGACTGCCTCAACCTCCACATGCAAACAAAAGCCACTCGCTCCTGTGTCAGCCATCCTCTCTGCAAGCAATTTTTTTAATACCCTTAGTTTATTCGGTAAAGTCACGTAGGTAAAAAATAAATAAATATAAATAAAAATAAAATAATAAAAATAATAAAAAATCACGACGTTTCGGAGACAACACAAGTGTCCGTCATCTGGTGGGACTGCCACAGCCAGATTTGCTGTATCCAGAGACTTGTGTTGCCTCCGAAACGTCGTGATTTTTATTGTTTTTTATTATTTTTATTAATTTTAATTTCATCTTTTACCTACGTGACTTTACCGAAAAAACTAAGAGTATGAATCCTTGCAGTCACGAAAACTTCAAATCTAGAATAAATGTTTTTTACCCAAGCCACTCTTCTTTCGTGTGAGACAATACTTGAAACTCGTCACTCTCGTGACGTCCTCCAACGCTTGCCTACGACAGGGGGTTTGGTGGTGCGCATGTGGTTATAGAACGCCGTGCTATAAGTACGTAGACCTGAGTTCGTTTCAAAGTCGTGGGGCGAACGTCGGCAGCGAGTGACATCTGGGCAGGGTCGCGCACCCTCTACGGTGCAGTGAAGTATGATCAAGCCAAACCCCCATGATCTATACGACATCTGGGAGGTCGTTGTCCAGCAGAGGTTTGAACAAGGGTGCTGTCCATTACAATTATTACGAGGGGAGTTGTTTTGGGAAATGTATCCGGTCAGTTTCGTGTAACATTCCTCTGTTTTACTACCACACGTTGGTCAATTATTCTCACAAATGTCATGTAGTCGCGTAACCGCAGTGTCCCTTCAGTATTAACTCAGTTTCATCATGCACAAATGTGTCTGCTTGGGGAGTTTTGAGACAATGGGGTTCAAGGTGTGCTTTCAAATAAGCCCTCGCTCAGCTGCAGAAATTTTCGCCGACTATTGAGATATTTAAACTATTTAACATTTCACGGCCAGTTAGTAAAATTTTCTTGTTTGTTTTGTCTCCTTTGACAAATTTGGAGACTGTAAACATTGTTTTCCGTATGCTTGTCGGTGCGTTAAGAAGGGAACGCCGAGTGAATAATTCATCCGCCGCTTTGCAACATCTCGTGCCATTGTTTACATGTTTGCACCAGAATGATGTATGCTCAGCGAAGCGCTTGTTTGGCTATGTAAATTCCTGGTAAATAATTGCGCGTGCGAATGAAAATGTCACGCGAAAGCGCCGACACAAACGTGAAAATAACCCCGACAAACCAATGCCCGTTTGTCATCGCCCGGGGTGTATCCACGCGGTCGCATCGCCGCCTTGCTTGTGGGAAATGCGGCATGCATCTTTCACGAGGCTCAAGGGAGGAATATGCATTGGGTGGCAGAGGCTGGAAGTAGGGTCACGTGAGGTTAGAAATTGCGTTCTTTCATTTTGGTTAACTTCAAATTGGGATTTTTTTTTTCAAAACGAGAGAAAAGAATTAGTGGTTCTTGACCCCCACAGGCACGGTCATTAGTGATGCTCCACAGAATGCACGGAATTTGCGAACGGGCTCTGGGTGGCCAGGCTCCCAAACCATCTCCAACACCAATTAAAAACCGACTGTTGTTTTTTTTTCCATTATAAAAGACTAATTTTCCAGAAGAGTACACATCTGAGATGAAAACGCAGAGGCTAAAATATAACCATTAAAAAGTGCATTAAAATTCGGGCAGAATCAGAGAGCTCTGACAGTCCCTAGCAGGCAACACCGGTCAACTCGATAGTTTAATGTTGGAGTCGTTAGTATAAAACAAATAAAACAGGGTTGAATAGCAAACCCGATTGATCAAGGATCGAATAGAATATTCGATTGGTACAGCGGTGTCACACATTGCCACAACTGCCACGTGTAAGTAAAAAAAAATTAACCCGTAAAAACAAAGTTTTTCACTATAAATCCTTTATATGCGTGGCAGCTAGTCCTCTCGTCCTCTGGCTTGAGATGGCTGCCACCTATGGGTCAGATGATTGCTTGCCACCATTAAGCAATTGGTAATTACATATAATAAAAAAAAAAATCCTGAAAAGTGTAACATTTTGGAAAAAAAATTTCACGAAAATTAATTGTCACGCACAACGAGTCTGTGTCCAAAATGTCAGCTCGATTGGATCACGGGAAGTAGGTAAAAAAACGACCGAAAGATTTGCACGGTCGCAAGCAAGCAAGTGAACTTAATATAAAGGATTTTAAAAACTCCTTAACGTATCACGGAGAGAAGAAAATCTCAGAATCGGAGCGGAGGGGAGAACGTCATGTAAATGCATCGTCTTCAGTGGTGCATTCCCCATGAATGTTACGCAGCTGACAAAAAAACCAACACTACTGTCCCGGGCAGACTTACTGATGTCACTCCTCAAAACGATGACGTTCCTGGGAAAACCAGGACAGGTGGCATCCCGCGGTGTCACACAGCTTAGTTCGCTGCCCAACAGAAACAAGCCTTTAGACTCCTTTTCTTCTCTAAATGTCAAACTGATAAGCCACTTTGTTGAGCTATCATTTGTGGCCAGGTCGCTTGTGAAAAAGAAGTTAATACCTCCAGTGTGCTTTGTCTGGTAGGATGGGTGATGGTTTCGTGTTGTATTTGTTTGTGTTTGGGTGATCTCTTTAACCTTTCTTCTACTCTGCATTCCTGTCGTGTTTCTGTGCCGTTTGTCGTCGTAACGTTCTTACCCCGTGCCCCGGCTGGACATCTGTGAAAAAGAGCTTCATAGCTCATCGGATTCCTCCAGTATGAACAAATATTCTGAATATTCTGAGCGGGATACATCGTGAATCAGAATCCCGTGGCTTGTGGAGAAACGGCAAAACGTCTCGCGGGAGTAGTAAGCGGCTCTACGAAACAGCTGGGGCATGCATCCTCAAGAAATGTGTACTGGGAGGTTTGGCGTTTTTATTTTAAACATATATATATATGAAACAACACTGTCTTTACAATACCTCGGGAAATTTTCGGCTAACCGTAATGAACGTGCTCGTTGTGGTTTTTTTTTATCAGAATCGCACATCTGACACAATCTCACACGCCGTCTGCCATCATCGCTAGCAGACACGGCGTGGCATTATAGATCTATTGTGATTGATTTCAGAGACAATGTCATTGTCTGTTATATTTAAGAATTACATTTTCGTTTAGCTTATTTGAGTTTCTGAGCTGTGTTAAATTAATCTCATGGATCCTTACAGCTATATTGTAGCCCAGATAAAAATGAGATCGTGGATGTAGTAGGTCTCTTTGTATTCGTGTGTCAAGTAGACTCAAATATATTGCCATCTAAGTGAGCACCCTTTATATTCCTGGGCATAACATACTGTGAGTGTAAGCATTGAATATCTGTAGGCTCACCACTTGAGCTAATGTTTCTGTCTGGGTAGAATTATGGTAGAGTGCCAGATTGTCAGAAGGCTGCGGAAACAAATCTCTGCCAGGGATGACTCAGGCTCATCAAATCTCGATTTTAAGTTTTGGTGACTGCAGGGATACATACTCTTTGGTTCTTTCGGTAAAGTCACGTAGGTAGAAATAAAATAAATTAAATCACGACGTTTCGGGCGCAACACAAGCGTGTTGCCCACTTCAGCAATTGTCTCTTGCTGTGGTTGTCCCACCTGATGACGGACGCTTGTGTTGCACCCGAAACGTCGTGATTTAATTTATTTTATTTTATACCTACCTGACGTCACCAAAAGAACCAAAGAGTATCAGCTCATCATCTTTCCGAAGATGACAAAATGAGCGTTACTTTGCGAGAAGTCCGTAGTTTGTTTTTATACGGAATTACTTGTCCCTGCCACAGAAAGGTGGAATTCCCACCGACGGCTCGGGACTGTCAGATGCTGGCGAACGCCACCTGACGGACCGTTTCAGCACCGGGACACGCTGAACCGTGGCTGTTAATACTCTTAGTTTTTTCGGTAAAAGTCACGTAGGTAAAAAATTAAATTAAATTAATAAAAATAGAATAATAAAAATCACTACGTTTCGGAGGCAACACAAGTCTCCGTCATCAGGTGGGTTAACACGCTATTCACACCGCCCAAATTAATTCCGCCGTCCGAACCGACGGCGCCGGCTAACGACGTCCCGCTCGTTCGCTCTCGCGGCCTTGCGCAGGGCGCAGCCGTGGCACGGCAGCTCGGGGCGGCCGCCTACGTGGAGTGCTCGGCGAAGCTGTCGGAGGACAGCGTGCGTGACGTCTTCCACATGGCCACCCTGGCGGCGCTCGGCCGCCTGCCGCGCTACCTCGTCCGGCGCGGCCACTCGCGGCGCGAGACTGCGTCGGCCACCCGCACGCCCCCCTCGTCGCCGTGCGACGCCTCCGCAGTCGCCTCCGCAGTCGCCTCCGCCGCCGCCATCTCCGCCTCCTCCGCGCCGCCCGCCGAGGGGCAGCGGGCGGCACGGCATCCGCGCAAGGAGCGCGCCAAGAGCTGCGCGGTGATGTGAGCCCCGCCGTGGACGGCGCCACGAGCGCCGCTGTCGCCACTTGCACCGGGAGTGCCCGGCGTCGCGGGCCGCGTGCCGCTGGCCACTGCCGCGACCGCCGCCCAAACTTCCCGAGACCGTTGCGAGCGATTTTCTGTCGGCCCACCCGGGGAGCAATTGAGTTTGTCGTTTAGCGTGGCCCCGGTGAGGGACGAGGGTAAACTTCCTCCTGCCACCCCCCCGGCCCCCTCTCCGTTTAAGAGTATCACTGCTTGTGATCGTGAAAATACAACCATCCCGAGAATAACAATGGCCTTGTTTGGATAGAATGTGCGCGGTGGTGGGGCATCGTGCGTGCGTGCGCGCGAGCGCGCGAGCGAGGCAGGCGTTCCTATCCTCCAAAAAACTCGGGAGTAGTTCTCCAAAGATGGAGCGTGTCGCCGTGTTATACAGCTGCCTTGAGAAGTCGTTTGTTTGGATGGTTGAGAGTGTCGGGCACCTGGAGCCGGAGACTCCGGTAGTTGCAGGTCAAGGAGCGGACGCCAGCCTGAGCGGAGGACATTCTGCGTGCGGTGCAGACTCGCATCCCCCATTAGGAACGGAAGATTGCGGAAAGACACAAAACGTCAAATCCGTGCGAATGTGCGTCTGCTACTCTTGAAAAAAAAAGTGCAATAGTTGAGACTGAAGGAAATCACGAATAACAGCAAGAGAAAATTAATCAGTCACGTGTCTTCATGAGTTGTTGTGTAATCTATCACGAGCTACGTAACGGCAAATGTATCAGTAGCGGTAACTGTTTTTTGGCGTGGGTCACTGTGATAACTCTCATGCGATGTGCTGTAATTTGTAATTTATTTACGAATCTGTAAACAATTCGAATTTGAATTTTTTTGTTGAACACGTTGTTTCACCCTCTGGAAAGTAACAGTTTTGATTACAGCAGAAGAAAAATCAGCATTCCGCGTTTTATTTTCAGAAAGTTGTACGGCATATTGTTATCTAAAAAAAACACACACACACAGCGTGACATTTTTATTTTCGGGTCGACGAACGTGTAATAAGTGCTTTTTATGTCTGTTAAATGGTTTCTAAATAAATACTTAATTTGCAACCACTGTGTGGGAAAAACTGATAAGGGCCAACACTACCTGGCTGCTCCTGGCATCTTCACATATAGGCGCCTGCTGCTGCCGCTTCTACCGTGGCCTGTGAGCCGCTGTCAAAGTGGCACTGCTCGGCTCCTCGTGCTTAAGCCACCGAAGCCAGGCCCGACCTCGTGCAACATTTCACGTGTGAACAGATTTCTCATCTTTGCTCGGTCACGGACAAAATCGAACGGCAAGTTCGCAAACGAGACGCATTTTACTAGCTCGAGGCTTTCGCGACCAACATCATCTATAATATCGTTCTTTTTTTGGGTTAGATCTCGTAAATATAAATGTGTCGTTAAACCCGCCACCACCCGACACAGTCAATTAGTAAGGGGTTTGTCACGTAAACAGAACGTGCCAATTCGTTACTAGTACAGCACACCGGTGTGTTTACAATCTGACTACCGTAACGTTTCGCCAGTAAATACAACCAGCATCATCAGGCGGGCAGCCAGATTTGTGGGGCAGCGACAAAGAGACGTTGATACACATTTAGATACAGTACATGCACTCAAACGACATACACCCATGCTAATATAGAGATATGTAACCGCCCATTGAATTGCCTCATGCATTTATGAAATGTTGAAATAGTCATCTTCTTGGTTCTTTCGGTAAAGTCACGTAGAAGGGAAATACTAAAATAATAAAAACAAAACATAATAAAATACAATTCTCACGACGTGTCGGCCACAACGCAAGCAGCCGTCCTCGGGTGAAGAACAGGTCTGTCGGAAAGCCAGTGTCTGAATGGCACTACAAGAAGATGAATCCCTGCAGTCACGAAAGCTTTAAATCGAAATTGTTGAAATAGTGTTTTTAATAAGCACACGAGGTAATGCAGACATCATTTGTATTCATATTCTTGGTTCTTTCGGTAAGGTCACGTTGAAGGAAAATAATAAAATAATAAAAAATAAAACATAATAAAATATTCTCACGACGTTTCGACCACAACGCAAGCAGCCGTCTTCATGCGTTGTGGCCGAAACGTCGTGAGAATTATTTTATTATGTTTTATTTTTTATTATTTTATTATTTTCCTTCTACGTGCCTTTACCGAAAGAACCAAGAAGATGAATTCCTGCAGTCACGAAAGCTTTAAATCGAAATCATTTGCATTTCCCATTTATCTTCAACGAAATGTACTTTTTTTCTTTTTTTAAATCCACACATTCATAGTTAACACTCTTACTTGGCTTAAAATGTAATCGCCTCGACTTGTGATCCTCTCGCTCGGGTTATCACTTCACTGCTTGCCAAACCGATGTTCTGGGTCAATCGCATTCGCGTAAGATGCTGTGCGATCGGCTCCTGATGCCCCCTCTGAACTGGACGGGCATTATCGACTCCTGCTGCTGCTGCTGTTGGAGCAGCAGCAGCTGGAAGCCAAGTCCCCGAAGGTCATTCTCCACGCAAGTCGCGAAGCCAAAACTTCTGCCGTGCACACACCAGAAGGGCATTCTTCTTACTACCCGTGACCCCTAGAGCCCGCGGACAATCTACCCCGCAGGTAAGGGGCCGTCCATAAATGACGTCACGCATCTAGGTGGGCGGGGGGGGGGTCAGACATTTGTGATGATGTGTGACGAGGGGGGGGGGGGTGAGACATGTAACGTCACATCAAAATGCGCAACTTTAAATAAATATAGACAACACGTTCTACTTAATTAAATAGACTTTTTAATAAATGTTTTCTCCTACAACATCAAAGTGCAGCGCCACATTAAATACGCACTACAATGACAATAGTTTGAAGCGATTTGAAGCATGTTTTTTTGGAGGGGGGGGGGGCAGAGCTTTGTGACGTCATATTTGAGGGGGGGGTCTGACTTTTTTTGACGCCGTGTGACGATAGGGGGGGGGGGGGTCAAAAATCGTCCAAAATCGCGTGACGTCACTTATGACGGCCCCTAAGGCGTGAGCAGAAATCGCGATGTTGTGGTCCCCCACATCGCCAGAGAGATAAGAGGCGTTCTCCTGTATGTGCACCACCGATGAGCGCGGTTGGCTACGTACGGTGCGAAGGAAGTTAAGCATAGTCGACGTACGTGCACAGAACCTTTTCCTCAAACCCCAACAACTCTCCGCTCGATTTAAAGCTTTCGTGACTGCAGGGATTCATCTTCTTGGTTCTTTCGGTAAAGTCACGTAGAATGGAAATAATAAAATCAAGGCGCTCTTCCCCCTCCAACCCAGCTTAAATAGACGCTCCAAGCCTGGGGTTCTTTCATTCAGACTCTGTCTTCTCGACAGACCTATTCTTCACATGAGGACGGCTGCTTGCGTTGTGGCCGAAACGTCGTGAGAATAATTTTATTATGTTTTATATTTATTATTTTATTATTTCCATTCTTCGTGACTTTACCGAAAGAACCAAGAAGATGAACTCTCCGCTCACCCAATGCGCACGAGGTGTCCCTGTACGTTGAACTTCTTTCGCGCCGTACGTATCCAACCGTGCTAATCGGAGGTGCGGGGGCAGAGCAACTAAACTAAACACAACACGAAGTCCCCAGGAAATTAGTTTTCAATCAAGAACATTATACTTAACTAATCAGCAGTTCTGCGGCTGTGTGCAGCGCTGGATTTTTTGCTCCGGGCACTTTTTTGTTTTATTGATTTGGCGGAGGCTCTGCAACGTGGTAGGGTGTGCACGTGCATCCATTGTTCGGGCGAGTCTCGTTCCGTGCCACCGAAAGCTGCTTTGGCAATGTCACGATAACCCCCCCGCCCGCCCGTCTGCACCAAAAAAACAACAACACGGCAGGCAAATGAAAAGGTGTTGTGAACAAAGGGCCGCGGGGAGCGCTAATTGTCGAGGCTGGCAGACCGCGTGCTCATCAACACCGAGGAGGAGGAGGGGGTGGGGGGAAGAAGCCGAACACAGCAGAAGGATGGTCGGAGAAGAACGAGGAGTGTGTGCGCTTTGATTTGCAAAAAACAAAAACATCTTCTTTCAACATCTCCCTCCTTCCTCCGTCGCTCCGTGATAGCAGTGTGACAAATAGAAGCCCCGAATGTGCACATTGTGGGTTGCAACAAGAACAAAAGTAGTGCTTAAAAGCAGGCAATTGGACGTAATGGATGCGTGGCTGTTATTCGCGTGCGTGCTCCACATTGAGGCAACAACAGGGCTGCCAGTTTAAACATCGACTGCCTTTCCCCTGTACCCAGATGCCACCCCCCCCCCCTTCTATGGCGAGCATTCTCAAGCGTGAAGCAAAATGGCAAAACTCTCTTACAACATACGAATATTATTTCATCCTCATCCATATCAATATTGAATTTACATCCACATTGCAGTAAGGGCATAACTGTGTGAATGAATGTTTAATGTGCACTGTATAAGGTCGCTTGCGTATGATGCATTAAGTTTTTATCCACACAATCGTCCATTGCCTGAAACACATTTATTTTCTTCTTGGTTCTTTCGGTAAAGTCACGTAGAAGGAAAATAATAAAATAATAAAAATAAAACATAACAAAATAATTCTCACGACGTTTCGGCCACAACGCAAGCAGCCGTCTTCAGGTGGAGAAACAGATTTTTTTTGCTGAAATCAAAAAGTGTTTGCCTCCCCTCCAAAGCCCCCCCCCCAGAGCCCCCCACACACCCCACCCCTCCCCCAAAGCAGGGCTGTGTAATAAAAACGCATTGAGACAGGCAGGATTTAATGGCCATGCCCGTAATTTTCGTGTCACCTGTATTAATTTCCCTCTACAATTGTATTAACTTAACGTGTTTTTTTTTAAAAATATCGTTTTACATGCAATCGTCTCCATTATATATAAAGAAAAGTCACAAACCATCCCCCCCACCACCAACTGCGGTGACAACTTTGACAGCAACATCTGTCAAGAGGAGACAAGATTCGGGTCAAAACATAATCGTTCGTCTTGGTCCAGCTTCTCGCAAATTCAAATCGTGACTGAAGCTCAGTTCTGTAATTTAGAACTGCCCATCAAGTTGCCGATCATCCCAAAAAAAAAACAACGCAGCAGAAGCAACAGCAGCAACCCATTTCCAGTATCCGCGTCCTGTCGATAAACTATTCAGCTATTTGTTTATAAATTTACGACGTCGAGCCACAGACTCTCGTTGGTATTCACATTGGGGTCACAATAATTCGCACGGCCGCATTATTACTCTAGGCTTCATATTTGTTTATCTTCGGTGTAATTCTCGAACCGTAATGCATTTTCTCCACACGCCCAGCCCTCCCTCCTCCCACCCCCCCCCCCCTCCCCCCGTCACTGTCTGACCTTCTTGGCCAATTTGTCTTTTGCAAACGCTTTTAGTCTCCGTGTGACTTGGATAAATAAATAAATAAGCAGTTTTATCGCAGAAAAAAAAGCAAGTGACTTCGTTGGTGACAGCAAAGACTGGGAAATCTGCCGGGAGTGCAAAGGGAGAAGCCCTTCCAGAGGCTGCCAAGTGTCGATGGGATTCCACGTTGGTGCGAAAACGCGCAGCCGTGGTGCGATATTCAGAAACAGAATAACGCCTTCCCCCCAGGGCTGTGTGTTCTCTCACATAACCCCCCTCCCCACCTCCCAAAAAAAATCGGACGCTTTGCTTGTATAATGAATCATTCCGAGTGAAACACATTCTAAATAAAATAATAATAATACCCTGCAAAGAGCTGTCCGCAACAGAGGGAAGTGAGAGCCCGCTTTAGCTAATGAGAATATTTGCAAGCGGGGTTAAGGCACAGAAATGTCAGATTCATATTAACTTTCGATGGATTTCCATTGGCACAATTCAAAACAGCCCCTGAGCCTTTGGACACTGCGATATTCGTGCTGTCACCATCATTTAATTAACTTGTATGGTGGGCCATGCAGCAAATATGCAATTCGCCATTTTCAATTGCTGGCAGTTCTGGCAGTTTAGGATACTGAAACTAAAATTGAAAATGGTATCAAGATGTCAATTTGCATCCTACTGACCAACAAT